TAATATTAACATTTCAAAACATTCTTGGGGCCAGGGAGATGGCTCAGTAGAATAAGTGCTTCCCTAGCAAGCGCAAGGGCCTGAGTTCAATCCCCAGTTTTAAAAAAAAAAAAAAAAAAAACAATAATTCTTATCCTCTAATAACTATTACCAAGTCTTCTTATCTCAAATGTGATTCAGAAGAGTTTCTTGTAAATGAATGTACTAATTATGTATTAAGATGAAAAACATGTAAGTATAGAAAATACATGACTGGTCATGAGTTACAGTTTCTTCCCTTTTATGTATTAACGTTTCCAAAAACAAGTCAAAAAAACTACATAAGCATAAGCCCTCCCCCAAAAAATTACAAGCCCCGCGAAAGCGGATTGAAAGCCAAACATTTTTCGCTTATAAGCTCAGAGAAAGTGCCTGTGTCTTCGCGATTACCCTACTGTCCCATTACCTGATAATTAAATGAAAGCTCTTGCGTTTAGATCTTCTTTAAAGTTGACGGTAGTGAGTTTCGAGGCGTCACCCCGGAAGACAGTCGCGGAGAACACAAAGAGAAGAACAAGCACTGGGCGAGGGCAGTGGAAGGTCTGCGGCGGGGCAGAGGCTACTGCTCGTTTCCGCGAGAAAAGGTTGTTTCTCCGACCAAACAAGGGAGGCCCATGCGGTCCCCTGGCAGGAAGCTCGGGCGACCAACCGGCCGGCACACGCAGCCCGGCTCCGGAGGCGATCCGCCCTCGAGGCAAGGAGACACCGATCTCCCAGAACCGTTCCCGGGCCCGAGAAGCTGAGGCGAGTGCGAAGGGCCGGAGCCCAGGCCAAAACGCAACAAGGCGGGAAGGACCAAGAAGTCAGACCGCTTGGGTCGGGGCCGGCAGCCCAGCAGCCTCGCCACGCCAGGCCACGCCACGCCCCTGCCCGGGCCCCCTTCAGCGCCGCGGTCCCCGGGGCCCGAACGCCAGCCAAACCCCAAAAGCCCGGACTTCCTTTTCCTTTCCACCACCATCCCTAGTGTCATTTGAATCCCTGCTGGGGACGGCCCTATTCAAGACGCAGAGCGAAGACTAAGCAGAGGACCCCAGAGACTGAGAATGCCACACTCACCTGATCGAATTGAAGCGTGTAAACCTTCCAGCTCGACTTCCGCAACCCCGTTCGGCATTCAAAATGGCGGCTTGCCCGGCCTCAGCACAGCCAGCGCAAGCGGAAGGATCCACGGGTCAAATTAGCCACGCCCCCACCGAGGGATTGGCTGCGCTCCTGCCGCTGCCGGGACGCACGCTCCGAGGGCTGCCCCTCCCGACGCCCGGCTCCCTACGGAGACGGCGCGGCCAGGGACTATTTCCCGCGGCGGAGGTTCCGGCTGGGACGCGCACGTCAGGACTTGTACGAGTCACCTGCAGCGGCGCGCCCTGGGTCCTGCGATGCGGAGGGGCAATTACCAGTTGTCGGACTTCGTGCTTAAGAACTTTGTCCAGGATTGTTCAAGTCTATAAAAAAAAAAACCTGACTTCAGATTTGCTTCCCAAACGCCCACTGTTCCTCGTGAAATTTCCGCAGGCCTTGTTTTGCCTCTCCCTTCGCCCTCGGCGCTCTCCCCTACGTCCCGGTTATTACCCCTAGGAGGGAGGCGGGCAGGCTTCCGTCCCTCCCTGGCACAGCACCTCTGTTTATGCGACTCTGCACTCTCGGTTTCTCCATTTCCCTGCTGGCGCCGATTCTTCTGCCCTATTCATTGTTAAGGCCCAGGCTTGATTACCCTGTCGACCACAATTTCTTCGGCCCGTGTATTTAAATTCAGTAATTTTTTTTTTTTTTTAAGCATCTCACTGCCTGGCAAATTCATTTGTGTATCTCTATTCAGAAATTTTTCATGTGATTATCTCCGCTTTTAACTTGAAAACCATTTGCTCGGTTGAGCATTGGGCAGAGGGGTTCTGGACTGTGCTTCCAGAAGATAATCCTGCCCCCTGCTGTAGAGGCTGCTTCTCCCGAGACTAAAATTGCGATGAGTTTAATTGTCCTGGAGCAGGAGCAGTCACGTGACAGGAACGGAGCCACGCCTTACAGTGAGGGATTTTTATGAATACCAATACTGCCTTTATAGCCTTTTGCAGTATTTCGAAATAAAAACAGGTTCTAGCTATTCAATACACAGTATTTGGTTTCTTTAAAATGTGGGGATTTTTTTTT